AGTCAAGATATTTTTAAAATTTATAGGTTAGTTTAATATAGCAGCATTTATAATCCAGTGTCTCTTACAATCCCAATTTTAAAAATTCCAAGACCATTCTTCATAGGCACAGAAAAACACATTCCACAAATTATATAAAAGGTTTTATAAAATCAACAATAACACAGGTGGTAGTAGCACATGTCTTTAATCCCAGCACTAGGGAGGCAGAGGCAGGCAGATCTCTGTGAGTTCAAGGCTGGCCTGGTCTACAAGAGCTAGTTCCAGAACAGGTTCCAAAGTGACAGAGAAACAATGTCTCAAAAAACCAAAAAAAAACAAAAAGAAATCAATAATAGGCAAAAGCAGTCCTGAGTAATGAAACACTGCCGGAGGATCGCCATACCTGACTTCAAATTATACTATAGAGCCATGGTGATAAAAGAGCATGATGCTGGCATGAAAACAGGCACAGATCAACAGAATAGAACTGAGGATCCACATACAAGACACAACCACAGTGACCTGAGTTCTGAAGAAGAGAAGATAGTACCTACAACAAACAGTACTGAGAAAGTTAGATTTCAACATGGAGACATGAAAGTAGAAGTCAAGCTGGGGAAAGAAGCCTCCAGATGTGGGGGTGGGATGAGTGATGAGTGGGAGTAACAGGGGTGGAAGTGACTCAGTACATTGCATACATGTATGAAATTGGGTTTTGGCTCTTGTTTGTTTTTGTTTTTTTTCTTTCTTTTCTTTTCCTTTTTTTTTTTTTTGGTTTCTCGAGACAGGGTTTCTCTGTTGCTTTGGAGTCTGTCCCAGACCCTGAATTCCCCATAAGCGGCTTGTTTTTCCTGTGTTTGCAGCTGCTCTGAGCAAAAGAAAAAAACTTGTTTTCCTCTGCTCTGAACAGCCTGCAGTTGCTCTGAGCATGAGACCTTGATGGTGGGAGTGGGGGTTGGGGGAATGGGGGAGTGGGTTCTGATGGGTCTGCAGCTGAAAGAGCCTGAGAGCTGGGGCATGGCTCTCAGTTAAGGATCCCCTGAGCTCAATAAAGTTGGGATTCTTGTATAAAGGATGACCCATGTCTTCATCTCTTTGTCTGTCTCTGTGTCTGCATGTTTCAATCTCCAGCCCCTTGCCCAGAGATTCATAAACCATAATAGTAGCGCTAACAGTCCTATAGTGCAGGCGCTGCACTACAGGTGTAGAACTTCACATGATCTTATGGAGGCATTTTCTTAATTGAGGTTCCCTCCTCTCATATGACTTTAGCTTTGTGTCATGTTGACATAAAACTAGCCAGGACACCAACCTTGAGGTTTCTGCTGAATAAAGTTCCTTAGATAGCCTGATGAGATGGCTCACTGAGCAAAGGCCCTTGACATTACTGATGACCTAAGTGTCAATCCCTATGACCCAGAGCTACACAATAAGAAAGGGAGCAGGGAGCATGGCATCTACCACCAACCCTGACAACCTGAATTCTATCCTCACAAACTACACAGTAGAAGGAAAGAACCAACTTCTCAAAGTTGTCCTCTGACCTCCACATGTACACACACATGCATGCATGTGTGTACACACACACACAAACACACACACACCAAAATAAATCTGAAAAAAGGGAAAGGAAAAAGCTTGATGTGGTGGCAACAGCCTATCACCCCAGCCCTTGGGATTGAAGGGCATGAGTCTATACCAGCTGTTTACAGTGAGGATTACAAGTAATAGTAATACTAATAAACCTAAAATGTTTATTTCTTGTGAAGCTGAAAAGTTCACTAAGCATCAGGGAGTTGTAATGGATCCACCTCTCACAGGTCAAACGCACTTCAGGTAAGCACTGTCAATCAACAGCTTAAATTTTGCTCCTACTTAGCCTACCCATAAGGGGGGGGCTCCCTTTTCCCCCATCTTGGGACTCCTCCCCTACCTACAACCACCAGAACCATGGGCCAGGATGTTTCAAGTATACACCCAAGACAAAGATTTTCCCCTAAGCTCCTTAACTTCACCTTCTGTTCCTAGTTTATATCAGTCCCAACAGATTTCCAATCAATTCACACAGCAAACTGTTTCCAAACTGCTTGCAACATGACAGCACCAGCATCAGAACCTGCACCCCAGACTGCTCCAAAGTGGCCTGTACTTTACTAGACCCAGGTGGTCCTACAGAACCTGGACAGCTAGTGAAGTAGATGTTCCCCAGCCTACATTCATCTCTCCCTTCCCAGCCTTTGGCCAACATCAGCATTCCAGTCTTCCTGGGCTTTGACCACAACATCCTAATTTTAGCAAGAAGTAGTTACAGAAGAGATGGTGTTGGCCCTTATTAACAAAAAGGCTAAAATGTCAAATTCAAAATAAACCTGGGGCAAATGACAATCTGTGGTGCCTATTAGCACACCAAATCACATGCTGGCCTCCAGGCTCTTTGAGCATCACAAGTACCTGTCAGAGAGTCCATGCTGGCATCCTGACTCCTCAGCTCTTCTCACCCTGCCCCCTACCCTAAACTCCAGCTCATGGACTCCCCTCCCTCAAGCTTCTCATACCTATATAACCCTACCATTTTCTCCATGAGCCCTCCTCTCTGCTTTCTCCCTTTTCTGCCTCTCTCACTCTCTCCCCACTCCCTCTCATGGCCCAATCCATGTCTAGTCTACCACTTTCTCTCCCTGCTCTGGACTCTTATAGATACCTCTGACTATTCTCTCCCTCATATCTACAGGAAAAATCTTCTCCTCAACCACACCATGGAGTGATCATGCCCTCATTTCATGCACTAGGAGGCAACTTTTGTAATACATACTTCACTTAGACCTAGTAAGAACATGGCTTTAAGATATGAAGCTTTTCTAGATGTGTTTTGGAGTTATCTTTTATTTTTTCTTTTGTTATGTGTGAGTGGAAGCATATCTGGAGATGATTGACATCAAGTGTCTTCCTCAGCAGCTTTCTACCTCTTTTTGTTTTGTTTTGTTGTTTTTTTTTTTTTTTTTTTTGAGACAGGTCTTCTCTGTGCAGCCCTGGCTGTCCTAGAACTCACGCTATAGACCAGGCTGGATTTGAACTCACAGAAATACACCTGTCTCTGTCTTGGAGTGCTGGGATTATATGGAGGCCCAAAAATGTGAGCCTGTTTCCACAGTGACCAAAAGTCAGAGAGTTGGAACTTTCCTCCAGTTCCTTCAATGTTATTGTGCTTCTACCTCAACCTCAAACAAAGGTCCCACCTAGATGTTGATCAGAGAGTTCTGCTCTCTTAAGGTGACTGTCTACAGGTGTGGTTAATTGCCAGACCTTGTGTTCCAGGAATAGAGAAGTAGATCTATTCTTACCTCAAGCAAACATCTAAGAATCCAATTAAGTTCCAGTTCCCTTTATGGAGATAACTTGGGATTGCACCCAGGGAGGGGTTTACCTACAGAATGTTTTGGTCCAGGGTGTAAGTAACTAGTTTCGTTCTGGCAACAGAATGTTTAACTGTGAATGTAGCCCACAACTTTCAATTGATATGTTCATTTCCTTATATCATGTTAATGTAGTCTTTTGTCTTACCTTTTGAGATCAAGGGTATTTTTAAGCAGTTGAAAATTAAACACAGGCGAGTTTTCTGTACTCACTGGAACTCCCTCCCCATACTATCCTATGTTTCTCCTTTTTATTATCTTCATTCATGTCTTCATATTCTTTACTATATTTCTAAATCCCCATGCTTTTACCCTGGCGAGAGGTATTTTTTGTCAAGGCTGGTTCCTGACAGGATTAAAGGTGTGTGCCAGCATGCCCAGCTTGCCTTATCATTTTCAGGCTGAACCTGAAGTCTTCACTGAACCTGGATCTTTAGTGATACCAGATAGTCTTAGAGGTGAGTCTAAGGTTCTCCCAGTGCCACGCACACCACCATCGCCACCCTGTGCTGGGGTTGTTAACAGAAGAAAAAGCCACAGCTGGTTTCCCATGATTACTGGGATCCACGTCATCATGTTTTAGCAGTATGTACTTTACCGAGCCATCTCCCCGACATGGTGTAGCTTTTATGGTCTCATCATTACCACTATTACTATTTCTTGAGCCATGGTCTTGCTATGTAGCTAACCTTAAACTCCCACATCTCCTGCATCAGCCTTCTGAGTGCTAGCATCACAGATATGACATCACACCTCACTAGTGTTTGTTTTAATCAAGCTCATTTGAAAATCTTGTTAAGGATTATTTCCTAAAGCTTTTGCTTGCTTTAGTACTGAATTAATCTATTTCACAGTTGTTGATAGTCAACACCCATTTTGTGTATCAAGTTCACAAAGAACTCCCTTGGTGTATCAAAGGGTGTCACTTGCCTCCTAGTCAGTTCGGTGGCCTTTAGCCAGCTTAAATATGCAGGCATCTCACAGTTTCCTATTTGTTCTGGTTGTTAGACATTGGAATTTCAGACACATACTAAGGTGGAAATGGAACAATGGCCTTCCATGATCAAATAACCACAATCGGCCACTAGCAATGCTCTGGCACTCTAGACTCGTTTGGCCAACTCCATTTTTTTGAAAAGGGATTTATCTTTGTTGCGCTGGCTGTCCTGGGACTCACTCTGCAGACTAGGCTGGCCTCAAATCCAGCAATCTGCCTGCCTCTGCCTCCCAAGTGCTGGGACTAAAGTTGTGCAGCACTAGGCCTGACTTTGTCAAACCCTATTGCCAGATTTTTTTTTTCCGTTTCATTTTATACCTAGCCCTGCTATGTTGCCCAGATTATCCTTGAACTAGCAATCCTGATGTGCTAGTCCCCTAAGCCCAGTGTCTCTGCATCACATGTGTGCACCATCAGACCTGGCTCTCCAGTAATGCACATTGGTGTATCTTGTTTTAGAATGCATCTCTAACACAGTCATAACCCACTTGCCACTTCTTTCTGTTTCCAATATGCTCTTACTCTTTTTCTTTAAACTATTTCAAGGTGACGCCCATACTTAATTTAGTTTTGTTTTTATGGTGCCTCCCCTTTTCTTTTTCATGCCACACAAAGCTGTAGAATTCCGGTAAGTTGTTCTGAGAAAAACTTTGGTCAAAATTCTTTGTGCTGAATCTGCTCTTCCCATCCATTCCTGGAGCTCTTGATTTTCAAGAACTTGAAAAGTTGAGGGAGTTCATGTGTGACTCAGTTTCTATCTGGAGTTCATTCTGAGTCATTTGAGTTCAAACTTGTCTGCTCTTCTTTTTCCAATAACCGTGAGGGTTGTGAGAGAGTTCTGATTTGGCCCATGGGAAAAGAGCATTTTGCCCATAAGAATACTCTACCTAGAAGAAAGTATTCTACTGACACAAACCTCAGGAACATCAAGGTAGAAAGTGAGGCTGCTTCCGAGCAGCAAGTGCAGGTTAGGTAGGAGGCTGCTCACTCAAGGACAGGAATGGTCTTGTGGTTGGATACTGACTGTGCTGTGCTTAGTTCTGCCTTTGCATATAAGCAAATTCTAAAATAAACTCTCGGCTGTTTGGCTGCTTGTTGGATCAACCGACTACCAAACAGACCTCCCGATTCTATCCGGTGTCTTATGTCTCAGTTTCTTTCATCTGACATCCTTTGGTCTTAAGGACCCCCATTCCAGGTACCTTAGCTGACCTTGGCAGGCATGCTGCCCCTATCAGGAGGTGGCTATTGTCCGACAGTCAGTTTTATTGAAGTCAAAGCCAATGAAGGGATCAGAAGTGCTCACACAGTCTTTCACATAAAAATCCTAGTATTCAGCCAGGTGGTGATGGCGCACGCCTTTAGCCCCAGCAGTTGGGAGGCAGAAGCATGTGGATCTCGGTTAATTCAAGACCAGCTTGTTCTACAGAGCGTGTTCCAAGACAGTTAAGGCTACATAGAAAAACCCGTCTCAAAAAAAAAAAAACAAAAAAAAACAACAACAAAAATCCAGTATTCACTGAAGTTCATTTTCTGAACCCACTATTCCCCTAGAGTCTAGAAAATGGTGACACCCTCCCCTATTCTCTGTTTTTCAGCATTTACTGGTGAAATCTGTTTAGGGAAAAAAAAAACCTGAATTTGATGAAGATTTGTTGGCACTGAAAAGTGGTTCACATGGAAAAGAAAAATAAATGTTCATTTTGCTTTCCTCTGCTAATTTAAGATGATGTTAGCCAGGCATGGTGGCATATGCTTTCATCTCAGCACTTGAGGGCAGAGGCAAACAGATCTCTGAGTTCTGGGCCAGCCTGGTCTACATGCTAAGACTCTGTCTCAATAAATAAATAAATTTCTAACTAAAACGATGAGTTGGTGTCCTACCATCATCTACTGCTGACTGGATTGTGCAGTCATAAACACGATAATTAAAGGTCCAGCTTGAAACACAGGTTGAAAATGCAGCAACCCGAGTAACAAAAGGTATACTGATTGTAAAACTTTTTAATATTTGTGTGAATGAGGTATGCATTTGCATGTGTGTGGGCTCATGTGAGTAGTGAATATGCACACAGGTGCATGTGGAGGTCCTAGGTTATTTGAGAAGCAATCTTTGACTACTCTTCCACTGTATGTACTGGGCAGGGTCTCTTAATCCAACCCAGAGCTCAGCGATGTGCCAAATATGGTCTTACTAGCCAACTTGCTTTGAACATCCAGGCTCTATCTCCAAAGGCTGGAACCACAGGTGAGCAACTACATCTACCTGGCATTTAACATGGGTTCTGGGATCCAAACTTGGGTCTTCGTGCTCACACAGCATGGACTTCAACCACCAGGCCCCTTCTCCAGCCCCAGTCTTTACACATGTGTATGCATAAAAGCCAAATCCCCAGGTGGCTACTTGTCTTTAATGCTATCCTTGAGATTGTGTGACTCATCCTGAATCTCGTCAGAGAAGGGATTCTAAATGATCTGCTTTTTTTTTTTTAAATTTGAAGATGTCATTTTCTCTGATTCTTTAATGGTTAAGTTTTAACAACCCACATTCGTGAAATTCAGTCTCTTCATCATGAAGTGACAAAAATCTCCCAATTACTATAACCTCCTAGATCTTACCTTGAAGAGATTACTCTGAGGTTTGTAACTGCAGAGACGTAAAAAGAAGCATTTCTACATGTATTACTTCCATAGAATCATCTTCCTTTTATAGGAACTGACAATATTGCCAACAATCATGGACATCACTTAAGGGATGCATGCTACCATGACTGCTCTCTGTCAAGTCTTAGCTACTTCATTCTTAAATCAATTCTTTTATGCAGTACAGCAGGTGGGCTCTAATTTCCATCCCTGGTCCCTGTCTTGTAATCTTCAGCTTCATGCGATCTTCTTGAGTGTGAGAACTTATTTTTAACCAGCAGAAGGTGGTAAAATGGTGGAATATTTTTGACTAGGTTACACAGATTATAACTTCAGTCTTGCTAGCTGACTTCCATCCTGCTAGCAACCACCTTTTTCGGATTCCACAATTAAAACAGCAGCTACCCTGGGCAGTGGTAACGCAAGCCTTTTATCCCAGCACTCAGAGGCAGAGGAAGTTCTGTGAATTCAAGGCCAGCCTAGTCTATTCCTTACCTAAAATTAAAACAAAACAAAACAAAAAAAAAAAAAACCAGCAGCCACACTGGGCTGGTCAATGTGGCCAGGAACTTCACTCATCTCTCAGCCAACAGCCATCCAGAAACTGAGGACTTCAATGTATCCGCTCTCAAAGAATTCAGGTGCTTCAGGTGTCTAACCTGTTGCCTTCATTGTGGGTACTTCTCTAGTTAAGCCTTCAGATGAAAGCCAGCCTCAGCTGCAACTTCAAAGACCCAACTAAGGCTTGCCTGGACTCTTGATCTATAGAAATCTTTAGATACTAAGTGTATATTATTTAAACTACTGCTTTCTAGTAATTTGTTACATAACAATAAATAACACGTATGGATACTATCATCACCATTCTGACAGTGAGGGAAACAAGGCATTAATATTGAGTATCCTGTCCGGTATCACAATGGGAAGAGTGTAGTCAGATGGAGATGATGACCGATAAGGCTAAAGATTTTCCTACATTCATCAAATTATTCTTTCATAGGAATTTCCTGAAGATAGGTAACATTTAAGTGAGAGTGGAAAGTTTTTAAAGCATCACAGTCTTTCTTATGCTTACTTATAAGCATGAAATAAATTATTCTCAAAAATGGGTTTCCTGACATTTTGCAACCTAACTCAGAACTGAGATTTTGCTTAAGTCCCACTGTGGATCTTCTGATGCTGGGTGAGGTGTGAGTGCTGTCTGAAGGCCTTCTTACACTCCTTACATTTGTAGGGCTTCTCTCCGGTGTGGATCCGCTGGTGCTGAGAAAGAAATGAGTAGAGCCGGAAAGCCTTCCCACACTCCTTGCACTCGTAGGGCTTCTCGCCCGTGTGGATGCTCTGGTGCTGAGTGAGCTGGGAGAGCAGCCGGAAAGGTTTCCGACACTCTTTGCACTTGTAGGGCTTCTCGCCCGTGTGGATGCTGTGGTGCTGAGTGAGCTGGGAGTACAGTCGGAAGGCTTTTCCACATTCTTCGCACTCGTAGGGTCTCTCGCCAACGTGAATGCTCTGATGTGAAATCAGCTGGGAGTAACTACTGAAGGTCTTCCAACATTCTAGACATTCGTAGGGCTTCTCACGGGTATGGATTCTCTGATGGCGAACAAGCTGTTGCCTCAACCTGAAGGCCTTCCCACATTCCTTACATTCATAGGGTTTCTCCCCAGTGTGGATACTCTGATGGACAGTTAGCTGCTGGCATATCCTGAAGGACTTGCCACAGTCCTTACAAGCATAGGGCTTCTCACCGAAGTGGATCTTCTGATGGACTCGAAGGTCTGGGCCGCACACGAAGGCTTTCCCACACTCCTTACAGTCATACAGCTTCTCGGAAGTGTGCAGTCGCTGGTGCCGGGTAAGGTGTGTACACTGTCTGAAGGTCTTGCCACAGTCCTTGCACTCGTACGGCTTCTCCCCAGTGTGAATCCTCTGGTGCCGAGCCAGCTGCTGATGCACCCGGAAGGCCTTTCCACACTCCTTGCATTCATATGGCTTTTCCCCGGTATGGAGCCGCTGATGCTGAGTGAGTTCTTGGAGCACTGTGAAGGCCTTCCCACACTCCTTACACTCATGCGGCTTCTCACCTGTGTGGAGTTTGTGGTGTCGGATAAGGTGTGCACGCTGTCTGAAGGGCTGCCCACATTCCTTGCATTTGTAAGGTTTCTCACCAGTGTGGATTCTCAAGTGCTGACTAAGCGTTGAGCGGCGGATAAAGGTTTTCCTGCACTCTTTACATTCATAGAACTTTTCTCCATTCTGCACTTGCTGGTACTCGGTAAGGAAACGGTGCTTTCTGTATGTGCCTTTCTCAGAGGTAATTTTCAACTGCCCAAAATAACCTTCCTGTGGTTCCTTTTGTTGCTCATCCTTGCTTTCATATTCCCAATCATCTCTAGGACCAGAAACTTGAGGGCTGTGGCTTTTAAGTTTCTCCATCAACTCCCACTGTAATGAATATATTCCATAAATATCCTTGTCTGCAGATGAAGTATTGGTCTTGAATCTGGCCACCAAATCTGAAAGAAAACAAGAAAGAAATATGCTGCATCCCTGTTCCAGGAGGAAAACTTCTATAGACAAACTGAAGGACCTAAAGGCATGCCCACTATCCTTCCTGTAAACAGGTATTTCTGAAAAAAATACTACACAGGTGCACCCCAAAACCCATATTCTATACAAAATCCTGCACCAAAAATCCATGGGAAAAACAGCACACATTAACATACAACTGTGTACAATTTATCAGTAAAACACTAACAACACTACAATTGCTATCTCAAGGGGTAAAGGTGCTTAGTGTGGCCAAAGCCACTTCACGAATATTAAAATGCATAAAAATTAAGAAGTCCTGTTTTGGGTGCGAAGTAGGCTCACATCCACAATCCCAGCACTCAGGCGGCGAATGCAGGAGGATGCTGCACATTTAAGGTCAGCCTGGGCTATACAGTCTCAAAACAGCTTAAGATACAAAATAAGATAATCTCTAAACTAAAAAACAAAAAAAAACCCAAAAAACAACAACAACAACAACAAAAACTCAACTGGAGAATTTATATTCCCAACTTTAAGAAAGGCTAAGAGAGAAGGATTATGGGGGAGAACTTGACACTGAGTTAGATGTCAACCTGAGTGACACAGGATCTCATCTCAAAAAGAAGAAAACATGTAAAGACCAAACTGGATGTGGTGGCGCTTGACTGTAATCCCAGCACTCAGGAGATGGAAGAAGAGGATGAGAAGTTAGTTACATAGGATGCATAGTGAGTTCAAGTCTAGCCTGGGATATGTAAGAGTCCTTGTCTCCAAGATGAAGGAAGGAAAGAGAGAGGGAGAAAGGGAGGGAGGGAGGGAGGGAGGGAGGGAGGGAGGGAGGGAAAGAGGGATCGCCGACAGGTATGGTGGTACATTCAATTCCAGTACTCAGGAGACAGAAGGGGGTGGATCTCTGTGAGTTCTGTGCCAGTCAAGGCTATACAGTGAGATCCTGACTCAAAAAAAGGAAGGAAGGAAGGAGGAGCTGAGGCAACGACTCAGTTAGTACAGTGCTTGTTCTGAAGCATGCAGACCTGATCTTATATCCCCAGCACCCACAGAAAAGGCCTGGGTTAAAAGTGTGCATCCTTAATCCCAGCACCACATAGGCAGAGATGGAGGAAACCTGGGGATTTGCTAGCCTATCAGTGAGTTCCAGATTCAGTTCAAGGCTGTGTTTCAAAAAAATAAAGTGAAGAAGCCATTGAGGAAGGTACCCCACATAGACCTCCACGCGCGCACACATGTTAACAAGCACCCAAACGCTTGCACAACCTCCCACAGGAACATCCTCTCCCCAACACACACATGAAAAGAAGCTTTAAGATAGGCAAGCTACCATTAAGGTGGATGAAATTGTAGCCTATCTTAATGAGGGGCCGAGCCTACATTACTGAATGTTAAGATTTCAGGCATGTATCTCCATACTGTGGTGAGTCTACAAGTATTATATGGTGAACATACAGCTGACAGACCTATCGGACTATCCACAGGAAGTGTACACGTACACTCCACCTGAACTAACCTGTTCTTGCAGAGCTATGGGCACACCTGTCCTTTGGATAAGCCACTGCCAATTCTGCAGAAATCTTGTGAAATCATGGCATTTCTCCCTTCAGTGGCATCCCAGCAGTGTATAAACCTGACTTTTCCTGGAGGAGAACCAGATACCTCTCCCCACACCATGAATCCTTGAAGTGAAAAGGATTCAGTCAGTCAAGCCTTTGTTCTCACAGCCAAAATCTACATAAAAATAGTCCCCCACAGCTATCTTTACTGACAGGACTGTACTCACTGATAAGAAAGGAGCCTCATACAGGAGACAGTATGTCTGCTCTAACAGCAGAGTCAGGAAGTGTGATCTACTGGTCTTCTGCTCTGACCCTAACAGGCTACTATACTCTGTATTTACCCTTCATCTTGGTGTCGACTAACACAGGATCATAGCCCAGGAAATTAACTGTTTATACAGGAAATGGGCCTGAATCACTAAAACTCACTTCAGAGAGAAAAATTCTCACCTGGGCATCCCCCAGAAGAGATTTCATTTAACTCAACCACCTAGATGCTAATGTGGAGGCCCAAAATTATGATCCTATTTCCACATTGACCAAAGGTCAGAGAGTTGGGGTTTAGCTCTAGTTCCTTCCAGGTTACTGTGCTTCTACCTCAAACAAAGGGCCCACCTAGGTGTTGCTCAGAGAGTTCTGCTCTGCAGGTGATTGTCAACAGGCTGGCCCCAACAAATGGTGCCCAGTGTGGGGTGGTCAGCCAACAAATGGTGCCACAACGAGGGGCTGACCAATGAACCCCAAAACACACAGAAGCGTGGCCAGGTGTACAAAGGAGCACGTGAGGGACCCCACAAGAAAACTGCACCGCAGGTGGAAGGTAAGTAATTAGCATTTAAAAATAAATAGCAGATATAAAAAAGGAAAGAGAAAGGTGGGGTATAAAATCAGGAGTAAAACTGTAAGTATTTGTAGATATAGGACAAGGACATAGGATTCAACTGTCTGTACAGTCGTTTGGATGTATTTTGATAGCTAGAGGAGCTGAAATGAAGCAGAAACAAAGGCAGAAATTTCTAGAGTTTGTAAATATTATATTCCTGCCCCCGCGCTGGCGGCTTATCCACCACCATCTTCGGGCTGCTCCAGGTCTTGGAGAGGCCGAAATAAAGCCTCACCTTCACCCCTGCAAGCCTTCACCCCTGCAGGCGGTTGTGCTTTGGTTACCTAGCCACAGCCTCTATTGCTACTGAGTGGGTGAAAAGAAGGGAGTATGGCATTTGACCTAGAATTGGCCTAGGTTACAGCTGAGATTGTGGCAGTTCATGCATGCCAGCTGAGTCTGACCCACTTTGTGGGACCAGGAAAGGCAGGCAGGAAAATTTCAAGAGGTATACCTGCCACAGTCAGAGCTCAGGGTCAGTCAGTGGAAATGCCTACAGGCTAATTGACCCTTGAGCCAAGGAGCCTCTATGGATAAACCTATGAATTTTGACAGAGGAGAAGACTTAGGAATTCTCCTAATTTTGTGATCACAAGATTTAAAGTAAAAAAGCAAGGATAGTAAGAATCGGCGTGGCAATAACTGCCTAAGCGAGTGGTCTCACACAGCAGTCTCAGAGACGCTGTAATGGCGGACACCTGAGAACCTGAGCTAACATTGTCAGCTGCATCTGAAGGACCCCAACTCGCCTTAACCACAATTATGCCGTTCTGCAAAGGTTTTCAGATAGCAAGCTTAATTAGAGGCCCCCGGAGCTCAGGACCTCTCCGGAATGCTGGGCAAAGACACCTGAGCAAAGACAGCCTTATCTGGCTGTGAGACAGGAGATTTATAGATTGGTCATAGGAACAAAGAAAGGGAAGATTGCGAGGCCTGAGTCACGTAGAAAGCAGGGCTCACAAGTCAGGGGCTGTACAAATCAGACATCGGGTCGCCAGCCGGGAGAGGGGGAGGCAGGATAAGAGAAACAATAAACCGCTGAGTATTCCCCTCATTGTTAACCAGGTTAAAAATTTACCACCCTGCATCTTGCTTCTGTAAACCTCGCTTTTTGCTCTCCTATAAAAACCCCTCACCCCCAACCTGGGGCGCGCAAGTCCTTCGAGAGACTTGGTCGCCCCGGGTACCCGTGTATCCCCAATAAACCTCTTGCTGCTTGCATCCGGCTGCATGTTTTCGACTGATCTTTGGGGCACGGGGCCTCTCCCGAGAGAAGACGCCCAAGGGAGTCTTTCACATCTAATGCTGGTCTGTGGCAGGACCATTAAACGTGACCTGTGACCTGCCCAGGCAGAACAGGCAATAACAGGCCGTCTGGACCCAAGGACCCAGACAGGACGGCCAAGCAGTGGAAGGAGCATGGCCCATGCCCCACCACAGCTTCAAGCCCAGATCCCAGTTTCCACGCCTGACAGCCAAGCTGCACAAAAGCAGCCTCCGGGAACTGCAGCTCCAGGCCAGTCAAGGGTCTGTGGAAGGTAAACGAGCAACTAAGGCAGCTAGGCAGACTTGCGACTTGGATTAGAAAGACAGCTTACAATTTTTAAATAAAATATCCAATGGCTAAGACTTTATTTAAAGTATCCTATGGGGAGACCTTGAACCAATAAGTGAAATTCTTAAAGGGAGTAGTGATCCAAATTCCAGTAGACAGCCTTCAGAAATTGCCAGATGGGTAGTCAAGCAGGTAGAGTATGAATTAAGATTCAGCCTTGGCAAGCATTTATATTGCCTACAAAATTTACTCTTACGGCAGTTTTATGGAAAAACGGTCCACCTTTTATGGCTGCACCTTCCTGTTTTGCCAATTAAAATATTAAACTCTTATTTTGAAGCAGTAGGTTGCTTAGCACAGAGGAGCAGGATGGAATCTAGGAGATGATTTAGCAGAGAACTGACTATGGTCAAGTTCCTTATACTAAGAAACAGACTGATTATTTTAAAATAATGCTTCTTGAGCAATTGCATTTGCTGAATTTAAAGGCCAGATTAATAATTATCCCAGCAGATCGTTACTGCAATTCACACTATATTCATTTTTTTTTATGTTATTACGAAAGATCCCTTAAAGGATGTTAAGCTTGAAAGATCCCCGATTCGGGTGTCCTCCCCTTGGGGACCCTGATGCCCAAGAACCAAGACCAGTCCGCACTGGATGCAAAAGCAAGAGGTATTTTTTTATTTGTTTACACGGGCACCCGTGGACGCTACAGCTTTCGGGTGGCTGAGCGTGTCGGGCTAAATTTGGGGCTGGTTATATAGCAAGAAGCAAGCTTACAGAAGCAAATGCATTCTCAATGGTTATTTCAGATAAAACGGTGGGGTCAGGTCAGGGATGGGTTGTCTATTCATCTTGAATACATGGGAATATTTCCTGTTCTACTGATAATGGCTTCCTTCAAAGCAGGCTGGAAATATGGAGGTTGAGAAACAATGTAATCAAGTTCAACAGGAAGTAGCCAGGCAGTGGTGATGCATATCTTTAATCCCAGCATTCAGGAGGCAGAGGCAGGCAGATCTCTGTGAGTTCGAGACCAGCCTGGTCTACAGAGCGAGTTCCAGGACAGCCAGTGCTACACAGAAAAAGCCTGACTTGAAAAACCACCAACAATAACAAAAGGCAATTTTGCTACTTCAGTATTAAAAATGGGAATTTGAGCCAGAGAAAAGCTCAGCGGGGAACGGTGCCTGCCACACCAGCCCGCTAACCTGAGCTGGATGCCAGGACCCATGGGAAGACGAAGAAAAGAACCAACTTCATTCCGTGGTCCTCTGACCTCCATGCATGCCATGGCATACATGCCTATCTCCCACCCCTCTTTCACATACATACATAACTTTTTAAAATCTGAATTAGCTTCAGGTCTCAAGCTTGAGGCCAAGACTTTAGAAGAGAAATCCCCCAAAATCTCTCAGCAAGGACCACACCTCATTGGGCTGTAGCAACAGCCCCCCACACCAGCTCACCCTCACTCACCAGGACAATATCTTTTTCTCCCTTCTTTCACAACTACCTCAGGCTCCTTCCCGTCTTCATCCAGTAAGAGAATTATATCTCTCTTAGAAATAGACAGTCCTGCTTAATAGAAAAATGTCAAATCAAATTATAAACCTAAAAATCCTTACTTTCAGATTTCACTAAAATTTAAATTAATTATAAGTCAAATGGTGCTGTTTGGAGACAGGGTCTCACTCTGAAGCCCAGCCAGCCTGGCACTCAGTACACAGTGCAGCCCAGCATTAAGGTGGCCATCTTCCTGTCTCAGCCCTTTGAGTACTGGGATCACCACCTTGCCTGTCTCCAAAATGGCACTTCATAAACTAAAGCATTAAATTCACACTACGGAGCTCCAGAGTAACCATTTTAGGGAAACCTTGAACCACAAAGAATGAACACCAGATGACTAAGGGTGTTAGTCTTATGTGATTCTTATGTGATTATGTGATTATGTGATTATGTGAAGACTTATGTAAGTCTTCATGTGATTTAGCCTGGCTCTGCAGAGCGGCCACACTGTGTGATGACTACAAGTACAGACAGGCTACTTCACATCCTGCCTGTTTCCTTGGCCAGCTCAGTAATTAGTGTGTGCGCGTGTGTGCGTGCACACGTGTGCATGCATGCACTCACATGTATATTTAGGTGTGAGTGGACATATGCATGCCATAGCACACATACAATCAGAGAACCTTAGAACTCCTAGCTTTCCACTGTCGGAAATGAGGGTTTTTGTTGTTCATTCCTGTGCTCATCAAGCAGGCCTGAGTTTCCAGGAATCTCCTGTCTCTGCCTCTTCCCTCACCACAGTAATGCAAGACTACACACAGGCACTACTGCACTGTTACATGCTTCTGGGGACCTGAACCAAGTCCTCACATTTGCACAAGTGCTTTACCCACTAAGTCGTCTCCACAGCCCCAACCTCTTGTGCCTGAGCACAGAGAAGAGGATGATGCCAGCATCTCTCTCAGGAGTGGTTGTAAGGGTTGATGAGTTGCATAGCACCCGGAAAAGCACCTAAGCACTAAGTGCACAGAACACACATGTCTTAGCTATGATTCTTACTGTGCTCACAGGGCTGAGAGGGGAAGAAACAGTCAGACCCTTTCAGTAGATCTATTCACTGTAAGATACAAAATGCTGAGATTTTTAACTATTTTTGTGGTACTGGGATTAAACCTAGGGCCTCACACGCCCTAGGTAAATGCTCGACTACTGAGCAACAGCCCAGGTTTTAACTTACAAACGTGAAGCAGGTAGACTGTTAGAGGCTGTTACCCAGAAAAGAGCATGTTCCCCAAGTTTTAAGCTTGTATCCATCCCACATGCATTGCCTTTGAAACTAGAGAGGAGCAGGGAGTGTCTACATGGATTCTGGGCTCTCATGTGGTATACAATCTGCTTTCTAAGAAATACCTCTGCCACATCAAATCCAGATGCCCAGGAAACCTGAACATGAAGGAAGCCAGGAATCAGTCTGAGAAAATGAGAAGGCGCCCCAGACCAAGAATGGTTAGGTGTTAAATGGAAGAACCTATTTCCAATCTACCAAGCAGAAAGTAAGAGCGAAGGGAAAGCTAACCCTTTGGGGCAGACCGCTCACCCAGAGAGAGGAAGTTGCTGTAGTTCTCCCACATCACGTCCCTGTACAGGCTCTTCTGAGCAGAGTCCAGGAACTCCCATTCCTCCTGGGAGAAATCCACAGCCACATCCCTGAACGTCACTGAACCCTGAAAAAAAAAAAAAGCAAACTCGTGGTAGTGCATGAGAAAAGTTTTTTTTTTAGGAGAGAGTGGAGACTGAAGGAGGACTGTATTGCAAAGTGGGGAGCACACAGCATGGGGCTGAACACGACAGGAACACAGACAGCAAGAAGTCAGTGCCTCAGACGGCATGCTCCTACATAGTCCTGGTCACACATAGAGTTAGAGTTTTAAAATACACGTTTCTTTCATTTTTATTTAGAGAGAGAGAGAGTGTGTGTGTGTGCATGGACATACCACAGCGCATGTGTGGAGGTCAGAAGACAACCAATAGGAGCCAGTTCCTTCTACCATGTGGGTCCCGGGAACTGAACTCAGACCATCATCTCTGCCTCCTAAGCCGTCTCGCCAGCCCAAGGTTAGATTTTTCATTCATTCTGGAAATAAATACAACAAACGCCATGGATGAACCCGACAGTATAGCACACTGTGTGCTCCCATTATGAGCTCTACAGAAATAGCGACACTCAGCTTCACTGACCACAAAAACACAGTGACCACATTTTCTTCCAAAAAGAAAACAATTCATTCTAGATCCACTACAAAATATCTGAGACAGACTGATTCAAGTTCACTACAAAGTTAGATTCTATTTTAAATTTGTTCTTTATTACAGTCAATTCTTTAGTTTTAAATTTTTGGTAAATACTTGTCCTCGCCTTGACTACATTAGATAGATCTAGTATCTCTTTAACATGTAGATATTTGAGCCCATGATGGCGGTGCAGGTCTTTAACTCCAGCACTTGGAAGACAGAAATGGGTGGATTTCCGCGAGACGGTAGCGCGGGACATCTGGTGCCGAAACCCGGGAAAAAGAAGAACTTTGCACCACCGGAGACCCCTTGGACACAAGGAGGATTCAGAACTGCAGGGTGTTTGCTCAGAGAGGTACGACTATTCTTGGACTTTGGATGTCCCGCGCTACCGTCTCGCCAGCAAGAACCACGCGGTACACATAGGATCCTTCTGCAGAAAAGCTTTATGTCTCTTGGGAGCTAGAGCATAAGCCACATGGCGGAGACCCAGAATGAGGGAAACCCAGCCCTTATAAAGGAAAACAGACCCTGCCCTGGACGTGTCATTCCTGGATTGGTCAACTGCTCCCAGTCCCAGGTGAAACCTTGGGAGTAGTGGAAAAATACCAACACATGTGAGCTTTCTAGCTCACCTGGTGGTGCAGCGCCATCTATGGTGGAGAGTGTGATTGCGGCCTTCTACATCTCCCCCTAATTTTACTTCTTTGCAGAAAGGCAACTCCCTAGGAAGGTAAAGATAGAGGTCGCACTTCCCAAAATGAAAACATTAAAATGGGCTTACACGGAATCTGTCCCTAGGCTCATGACACCTGGAACCTATCCGGCCTGCCCTCTGCCAATTTTCTGGGAAAGGGAATATACGGCAGGAAACCCTTAAGCAGAGCGACTTATCTCTCAGAGAGGGTCATTCTCTGTGCGATGCTCTTCAGCTCGACAACCTTCAGGGCTAGCTAAGCCAAGCACTCCACCCTGTGCAATGGACCACAGTCCTAGGGGTGCAGGAGCTGGTTGGCTTAAACCTTACTGCTTTAACATAGATAACCACATATCAGTAGAGGCTCCCTGTTCCAGGGCAGCCAGCGCTGTGCAAAAACCACTTTGTCCCTCAGACTTTGGGATTTGAGTCAGCAGACCATCCAGAGAAGAAACACTATTCCATAGCATAGGACCGTTCCAAAACATTTCCACCCCCACCCATTCTTTGAAGTAGGGGATGAAGGACACAATCCAGGACTGGAATCCTTTGGCCAGGCTTATGTCCACTCGCGTGGAGTTGATTGTCATGATGGACCATCTCAAGGAGGACAGCAAATCATCAAAATTCTCCTGCAAGATACAAAGACAATTCTCGGGACAAGTTAGCCACTTTTATAAAGTTCTCATATGGTACATTGTTTACACATAAGGCTGTAGTTTTCCATTCACAGCCCAACTGGGCAAGCTGTCATAAGATATCCACCTGTTCTTTATTCTACCTCTAATAGATGTATCTATGGTAGCATTTAGAGGGTCATCCTTGTTACTTTCTCATCAAGTTTTCCAGTCCAATTACCTAGAAGATAACTAAACAATTGCTTAATAATCAGTCATTGCATCTGGGATCGCAGGAGCGCAATTCTCCAGCTGCATCAAGAAGTCTACCAGAGGCATTTTGGAAACTCTGGGCTTTTTTGCCACAGTCACAGATTTAGCCAATGACCCAATCACCTTAAAAATCTAAGGGCTTTTTGCATCTACCTCCCTGTGGATCCTGAAACATTAGATTTAAAACCAAATAGTTGTAAGCTGCCATGTGGTCGCTGGGGAATTGAACTCATGACCCTTGGAAGAGCAGGCAGCATTCTTAACCCCTAAGCTATCTCTTCAGTTCCTTATTCAGATGGAAAATCTCTTGGGCTAGTAGCCGGCATTGTTCGCCCCGCCCATTGCCCCAGGCTATTGGTCCGCCTTTGTTACCTAGGATCAGCACAGCTCAGCTCAGCCAAGCGGAACAGAAGCCACTCCAGCCTCAGAGCCCCTCACAGTTTCAGGCACATTGCAAGCCTTCTGACCTGGCAGCTTGTGACACCGTTCTCATTCTCGGTACTGCTGTGATACCCTCCAGGCCAGGCACCAACTGAGCCGGCGCGACGTGCCCCCCACCATAGCCACTCAGCAATGCTCCGCCCCAGCCACCCTCCAGCCGCAGTTGCATTCATTCCGAGTCCAAACTAGTGCACGGAGTAAAGCAGAACTCAGAAGCAGACTTGCTGGTCTGAAACCACTGTAACATAAAGCTTTTGACCTTGTAGGTCAGTCTCCCCCATTCTTAGAACCACCGGGGGGTCCTTTTTTCTTATTTCCTTTTCAGTCTCCCCCATTCCACCGGGGGGTTCTTTTTCCTTACTTCTTTTTCTTACAGGCGCGCCTAACCTCTCACTGCACTCAGTTTCTGATATGCTATCCTGGACTTCCTCCAATACATTTTGTCCGTCTGCAACAACAGCCTGGCAGGATTTATCTTCTAAGCAATTTCAAAGTGATAAGAGAACTGCTAAGAAGTACCAAGGCCTCTACGAAACCTTTCCAAGGTGGAGACAAGTCAAGCCCAAAATCAAAAAGTCCAAGAATAGTCGTACCTCTCTGAGCAAACACCCTGCAGTTCTGAATCCTCCTTGTGTCCAAGGGGTCTCCGGTGGTGCAAAGTTCTTCTTTTTCCCGGGTTTCGGCACCAGATGTCCCGCGCTACCGTCTCGCCAGCAAGAACCACGTGGTACACATAGGATCCTTCTGCAGAAAAGCTTTATGTCTCTTGGGAGCTAGAGCATAAGCCACATGGCGGAGACCCAGATAAGATGGAACCCATCCCTTATAAAGGAAACAGACCCCGCTCTGGACGTGTCATTCTTGGATTGGTCAACTGCTCCCAGTCCCAGGTGAAACCTTGGGAGTAGTGGAAAATACCAACACATGTGAGCTTTCTAGCTCACCTGGCGGTGCAGCGCCATCTATGGTGGAGAGTGTGGTTGCGGCCCTCTACAAGGAGAGGTTCTGTTTTCGCCTCCATGGAGGATGGGAACCTAAGTATGTGCTTGAGATCCACGTGGTTTGAATCACCGAGACCTCCTGAAATGTTATAGTGTTTACCCCTAAAATGCAGCGTCCCAATACAGCAGGAAGCAGCCAGAGAGACTAACGGCGCCCAAATTCCCTAAAAGATTAAATGAGGTCCTTTCAGTGATTGCAGAGCAGCAAGCCTGCTTCTCTGAGTTCCGCTTTGCTCCATACACCGGTTTGGGCTCGGAGTGGGTGCAGCTGCGGCTGGAGCGGAGCTTTGCTCGGTGGCTATGGTGGAGGGCACGTTGCGCCGGCTCAGTTGGTGCCTGGCCTGGAGGGTGTCACAGCAGTATCGAAAATGAGAGCGGTGCCACAAGCAGCCAGGCCAGAAGGCTTACAATGTACCTAAAACTGTGAGGGTCTCTGAGGCTAAAATGGCTCTGGTTCCATTTGGCTATGCTAAACTATGCTGACTTCAGGCAGGACTGGTCGTAATTATCATAATAAAAGCGCAATTAAGGTTTAGCCGCAGTAAACAGGCAGTACCGTATTACATCTACATAGTGCGACTTAAGTTTTTAAGAACTGCTTAGCATTTTAAGAACTCAAGTCCTCCTGAAAGATTGCTGTATATACACTTGGCTTGTCTGGTGTTTCGGGATCCGCAGGGAGGTGGATGCAAAGGGCCCTTGGATTTCGGGGTGATTGGGTCGTTGGCTGGATCTGTGAGAGTTTACAGCCGCTTTTGCTGTGGCACAGGTGTTGAGAGTTTGCTAGTAGGGAAGCGGCCCTGTTCGCCGCCTCTCCCATCGGCCCCTTGAGCCGCAACGGCTCTGGCGCGGACCTTGAGATGTTGCCGGACTATGCCACCTCAGTTACCGGTCCGGGTGTCGGCTCCCGCCACACTCCCCCACCAACACAGCCGCTGGGAAGGCAGGGGCGCCTGGGGGTGGAGCCACCACTTCCTGGCCCGGGACACGCGGAGTCGCGCAGCAAACAGGCCCAGGGCCGTGCAGCCCTCGGAGGATGGCGGGGCGGGCTCTGAAACCCTAGGCCACCGTACCCGGGGGACGGTCTCAATGGAGGCTGGCAAGCCACGTCCCCATACACGGAGCCCGGGGCAGGCGGCGGGGCTTCCCTAAAGGGACATTGTCCAACGACAATTACGCCTGCAGAGTGCAGCCTAGGGAAAAAAAAAGCCCATAGTTTCCAACACGCCTCTGGTAGACTTCTTGATGCAGCTGGAGAGTTGCGCCCCTGCGTTCCCAGGTACAGTGACTGATTTTTGCCTGGACCGTGCTCAGTACATCGGCTAGTTGGTGAGCGATTGATTCTGGGACACATGGAGCCATCCACCTCTCTGTAAAATATCTATTTAAACAAAAGGGGGGGA